TGTTATACAATGACTTGCCTAATTACCCTAACTTTACCCTAATTACCCTAGTGAAGCCTTTACATGTCACTTTAAGCTGTATAGAAGTGTCTTGAAGAATATCTAGTCTAATATTATTTACTGTCATCATGACAAAGAGAAAATAAAGCAGTTATTAGAGATAAGTTATTAACACTATTATGATCAGAAATGTGCTGAAGAAATTTGCTCTCCATTAAACAGAAATTGGGGGAAAAATAAACAGGGGGGGCTAATAATTCTGACTTCAACTGTATATATATATATTTGAATATATGTACATATTTGAAATTCCAATGGCCATTTTTGCAATATTTGGAAATATATATTGTATTATGATGAGCGGGATGAGCTCTCTGTCTGCCTTCAGCAGCAGAAACACAAGCTGTGCGCAAAAGGCCAAGAAAACGATAACAGAGGTTTGATGTTTGTCTGAACTCTTCCTTTGATATGCCAGACACATAACCATGCAGCAGCAGCAGATGCCTGTAGCTGTGTTTCAATCCACCTATTTCTCCTCACATTTTGGATTATTTCATATAATAATGCTTAACGGAAATTGAAAGATGTGCATAAATCTTGAAAATATGCATAAAACAACTTATTTATATTGATAAACTTCTTATCTATAATAAAGTATGTTCATACACTCTGCTGTAAACAGATGTAGTGAGTAAAGTCTGCATCAGTCTGCATGCTGTGATTGAGTGTTTGCGTCAGTAATGTTAGTTTGCAGCTCTCCATGTTTCCACCTTTGTATTGTGTCAGATGTGAGATGTTGTTGTGCTGATTGTAAAAGGCCTCAGCCCTCTGTCAGTCCGTCATCACTGTGCTTCAGTATTCTTCTATTATTATTTCCTACACAACTCTCTTGAGCATCTGTCTGCTCTCCCGTCTCACGCCTCCAGAAGCGACCGCATTCATTGCATTTCATCTTCTGAGGCGCAGCTCATTTATTAGAGGAGAACAAACACCACAGTGGAGAATCCCAGCAGCAAACTCCACTTCTCTCAGCAATATCTGAGCACGTTTATCAGGAACTGAGAGGTTTCTAATTGACTGGAAGTGCTGCATTATTTGCAAATACTTCCTGAAATATTCCAGCTTTGTGCATATCTAAATGACATCTTTGATTGGAAACACAGCATCAATCCTAGCTCTACAAGTGTGTTGTGTTCACGATGAAGACGTGCAGAAAAATCCTGAAATTTACTCAGACATGAGCCTGATATTCAGAAGCTCACTGCAGAGGTCATAGAAAGCTTAAATAAACATGATTCATAACCTGATTTATTCATTTTCGCACATCAATATTGAGCATCTGTGCCGTTTTCCATACTCACACTTGTAAAATTCATTCTGATCTGACTAACCGGGGAGATTCAGAGACATGTGGACACATTAATTGTTTATACATGTAGATCACCGCACTTCACATGCTTCAGTTTGATGCTGATGGAAACAAGAGAACTGGAAACATCCTCCCAGCGGAGCAGAAAGAGTGTTTCAGAGAGTTCCAGACTTCAAAACTACACTGAAATACATGTGTGTTTGACTCATTTCTAGTCCAAATAACTCAAATATCTTAAATCAAGAAGCATTTTCTGGACAAGTAATAAATATTGTCTTGTTTTAAGAAATAACAAGTCAAAATAAAGTAAGTTTTTCCTTTAAACAAGCAAAATAATGTTATTTGAAAGCTAAAAACAAGATTATTTTACTATCGAGGTAAAGTTGGTTTGATATTGGGATATTTACACATTCTGCTTAGTAATATAATTTCATAAAAGTTTTCTTTGAAAATTGTAAATGGGGAATTCATATTAGCAGCCAATAACTATCAAAATACAGCCATGTTTACTGTCAATTAGATAGTGTTGATGTTCTTTTGAAGTCATACTTGCATGCTAATTCCGATCTAATATTCAAAGTAACATGGTAAACAATATAGGGACTTCTAAATGAACGAATGTGTGAATATACCAACTTTACCTCCACGTTTACAGTCAGTTAGATAGTGTTGATGTTGTTTTAAAGTCACAATTACATGCTAATTCTGACTGAATATTCAAATTAGCGTGGTAAACAATATAGAGACAGTATAAAAAGTCTAGAAGGGATACAGCTGCGGATATAACAATATAGCATAATTTTGTGACATTGTAAAACAATAATTCATATTTTTACATTGCTGTGAGACTTGGGGAATGTGTAGACATCAATAAAATACAATATAATCGGTAAATTAATTAATAATATGAATATACTCTTTACCTTATCCTTGACGTACGAGCGGGCGCGCGCCCATTTGAATGTTTATGTTTCGACACTTCCGGTTTCATTCACTTCCATTGATTTTTAGACGTTAAAAACATCAGTACGTCTGAAAAGAGCACAATCTCATTTTAATTTAAAGCGACAGCCACCAAAATGCCACACAGTTAGACTTAAAGCCTGACAGGGTCAGTTTCAGAGTTATAAAACATTATTTATTTGATATTTTGAGCCAAACGTTCACATACACACTCAACATCAGCTTGTAAAAAGGGTGTATAACAGCTCTCCTTTAGGGTATAATTCAATAAAAATGTAAAACAATTTTTTAAAAACAGTGAAAGAGCTGATAGTCAGGGATCCCTTATATTTTCTCAAACAACATAAATATATCTATATTTTGTTTAAATAAAAAAAAGCTCAACCGACCGGTCCAGTGTGAATGCAGACATACTGATGACAGCAGATATTTACAATGGTTGAACATTAGCTTGACGACACTAAATGTGAAATATAAAAAAGAGATGAACCAAAACATATTTTACTAAAAGTGTGGAAGCATGTCAGGAAACAAATGACTGGTATTTAAACAGGTTCAGACTCAGTAAAAATGAGTGTAATTAGTCTCAGTGAACAGCAGAGGGAGTCTCTGCTGCGAGTCTTTACACTGAGATCCTCATGGAGAAACACTGTCAACTTCAGAACGAGGGCGTTTGAGTCCCAGAAACTCAAATTTAACATTAAATAAGACAACATAAAGATCACTGAGAACACTACTACATCAACAACTCAGTTTATTTGCCAAGAAATAAACCCTAAAACACAATAATGATACCGAAAGAAAAGAGAAAACAAAATATAGCTGGGATTTCATTATATTAAAACATTTATACAATTTTAAAGCACATAATAAGTTATTATATATATATATATATATATATATATATATATATATATATTAAGCTATATGAGTGAAATAAAATCTGTTCTTGTATATAGATTTGTTTTAAATGCTACAGTATTAACTCTCTTTTGGCAAACTGTAATTATTTTTCAAATATTTCCCTAGTGATGTTTACCAGAGAGATTTCTTTCAACACAAATTTGTGTTAAACTTTTGAAACAATATTTCTAATAACTGATTTATTTTCTCTTTGTCATGATGACAGTAAATAATATTAGACTAGATATTCTTCAAGACACTAGTATTCAGCTTAAAGTACATTTAAAGGCTTCACGAGGGTAATTAGGTTATGGACAACAGTAGTTGGACCATAATGATATTTATATATTTAATATACATATTGCATAGTAATATTGATGTTAGCCGATTTTTTATACCAGAAAAACGAAAAGAAACAAGACATGAGCATCACTTGGGAAATATTTGTTAAATAATTCTAATTTAGTTTTGAACTGTGTGTCAGCTTCTGTCATGGTAAAAAGTACTTTTTGTTGTTGTTTTTTGCTTGTAGGATATAATATTTGTCAGTTTATTATAGTAAATGTATAATAGTTATATAATATATTTTTGTTAATACATTTTCTTAAATACATAAAAAGAAGAATGTTGTAGCGCCGTGAGTCTGAGGTGCATTATTAATAAAACTGATTATTATTATTGTGTTAAAAGTTTTATAATCTCAATAAAACTTTTAACTTTTTATTTAACCAGGTAATTTTTTAACTCTATTTATTCTAATGGTTATTTATTTTCCTAACAGTAATACTTGGTTAAAAGTTCTCCATGTATTTACCAACCCGGAACAGATTGTTGTGCATAGATTTAGTTTCTGATAGTTTTTTAAACATTTAAAACAATCGTTCATTGTTTATGTTGGAATTTCATTGTTCATTGTTCATTGTTTATGTCATTAAGTTTATGTTGGAAAAAAAGTGTACAGATACAAGTAGAGCTTGCTTGTTTCTACACAATATTTAAAATATTTAGCTAAGAAATAAAATCTAAAATACAAATATTTTTATTAATAATGTATTATTGTATTATTAAATTATATATATTTTTGATAAGGAAAATAAAAATATTTTCCATCTGGGCCATTTGAAAAATTCAGTAGCTTTTATTACTTAATGGGTCTAAAATTTTATTTAAAACGGTCTTAAACATGTCTTAAAAAGTATTAAATTTAACTTAAATTAACTCAAAATTAATTCATTAATTAAATTTAATTTAATTAATAAAATTTTTTTATTTAATTAAATTTAACTCAAATGTAGAAAATCAATTGGATCGTAGAAAAGGATTGAATAGAATAAGAAAAGACAGTTAAATAAATAAATAAAGTCAAAGGGTGCATATTAGGACTGTTGGACTGTGTGGCTCAGTGCCAAGAAACAAAATCCACCCCTGATCGGGGCCGGGTCGCGGGGGCAGCAGTCTTAGGAGAGAATCCCAGACTTCGCTCTCCCCAGACACTTCCTCCAGCTCCTCCGGGGGGATCCAGGCCAGCCGAGAAAAATAGTCCCTCCTGCGTGTCCTGGGTGTTCCCCGAGGCCTCCTCCCTAGGTAGGCGTCCAGGAGGCATCCGAAACAGACGCTCGAGCCACCTCAGCTGATTTCTCTGGATGTGGAGGAGCAGCGGCTCTACTTCGAGCTCCTCCCGGGTGTCAGAGCTCCTCACCCTATCCATAAGAGTGCGCCCTGTCACCCTTTGAAGGAAACTCATTTCGGCCGCTTGTATCCGAGATCTTGTCCTTTCAGTTATAACCCAAAGCTCATGACCATAGGTGAGAGGAGGAACGTAGATTGACCAGTAAATCAAGCGCTCTGCCGGTCAATCTACGCTCCTACTCTCACCTATTATTATTATTATTATTAAGAGTAGGTAATGGACATAGAAACACAACTCTTCCATCTGTGTGTGTCCCTGATGTCCATGTGTTCAGGGCTGTTGTTGTGTCTGCTGTTCTCCTCTAATGAGGGCCAGTGTTTTCTGCGGCCCGTACGAGGATCCGGGCGGGAACACCTGCCGCTCCAGAGACTGATAGAACGATGGCGACAGCGAGCGGTTAAAGTGCAGCGGAGAGTTAGCGGTGCGAGGAGTAGCGCGGGTCAGAGATGAAGATGAAGATGAGGACAGATGTGAGCGGCTGCTGTACCCGTACGCCGCGCTGCTCAGCAGGAACTCCCGGGACCCGTATGCCGGAGGAGTTGCGCCCCGAGACCCACGGAAATCCTGTGGGAGGCTGCGTCTGCTGGGCACATCGTAGATCCCGCTGGCGTCCGCAGTGCTGCTGTGCTTATCTTCGGGCTCGCGGCGCTCCTGTATTGAGCTCATGACGGGTTTCGGCAGGCTGTCGTAGCAGACAGGGGACGGCTCGCGGTGCTGCGGGGACTGTCCTGTGAGGAACACCGGGCTGCAGGTGCGCACTGGTCCACGGGACAGATCTGTGGAGACAAGGGCATAAACGAAGGTAAGTGGGTGGGACTCGAGCTCCAAGTGGGCTGTGCAAACCTCCTGGTGTTCATTTATTAAATGTCTTGTACATGACACAGTGTACAGTCTTGTACAGTCCAACCTATTGTGTTTTATGAATGTCTACACCTACCCTAACACTAAACCCAACCTCACGGTAACCTGTTGTGTTTTATTATCGGGCTGCAGTGATACCTACTTGTATCTGTGGGTCTGAACTGCATCTGGTGTCCCGCTGGACGCAGTAGACTGTCGTAGGAAAGACTCCCGGAGCGGCTGCTGAGGGCGCTGGGTGTAGGGATGGTTTGTGGAGCCTGAGTTTCTGCCCGCTGTGAGCCTCGGCGGGCCGAGTGTTTCAGGCTCAGAGAGCAGGAGTTCAGCGTCAGAGAGTTTATGGGCTGAAGAGACATGTGGTTGTCCGACTGGAGCAGACTGGGCTCAGACGCATGTTCCTGAGAGAGTAGAGGAGATATCCTCATCCCCATCTATAAACAACAGACAAACTTGAGGGTTTTTGTTGTTGTATGAACTTTACAATTCACATATCGGTCTGTTTCGATCTATTAGAGATTTGCATATCGGTCTGTTTTGATCTATTAGAGATTTGCATATCGGTCTGTTTTGATCTATTAGAGATTTGCATATCGGTCTGTTTTGATCTATTAGAGATTTGCATATCGGTCTGTTTTGATCTATTAGAGATTTGCATATCGGTCTGTTTTATTCTATTATTGATTTGCATATCGGTCTGTTTTATTCTATTAGTGATTTGCATATCGGTCTGTTTTATTCTATTATTGATTTGCATATTAGTCTGTTTTATTCTATTAGTGATTTGCATATCGGTCTGTTTTATTTTATTAGTGATTTGCATATCGGTCTGTTTTATTCTATTCGATATTTGCATATTGGTCTGTTTTATTCTATTCAGGATTTGCATATCGGTCTGTTTTATTCTATTAGTGATTTGCATATCGGTCTGTTTTATTCTATTAGAGATTTGCATATCGGTCTGTTTTGATCTGTTAGAGATTTGCATATCGGTCTGTTTTATTCTATTAGTGATTTGCATATCGGTCTGTTTTATTCTATTAGTGATTTGCATATTAGTCTGTTTTATTCTATTAGTGATTTGCATATCGGTCTGTTTTATTTTATTAGTGATTTGCATATCGGTCTGTTTTATTCTATTCGAGATTTGCATATCTGTCTGTTTTATTCTATTAGTGATTTGCATATCTGTCTGTTTTAATCTATTAGTGATTTGCATATCGGTCAGTTTTATTCTATTAGTGATTTGCATATTGGTCTGTTTTATTCTATTAGTGATTTGCATATCGGTCTGTTTTATTCTATTATTGATTTGCATATCGGTCTGTTTTATTCTATTCGATATTTGCATATTGGTCTGTTTTATTCTATTCAGGATTTGCAAATCGGTCTGTTTTATTCTATTCGAGATTTGCATATCGGTCTGTTTTATTCTATTAGTGATTTGCATATCTGTCAGTTTTAATCTATTAGTGATTTGCATATCGTTTTGTTTTATTCTATTAGAGAATTGCATATCGGTCTGTTTTAGTCTATTCGAGATTTGCATACCGTTCTGTTTTATTCTATTAGAGATTTGCATATCAGTCTGTTTTATGATATTAGAGATTTGCATATCGGTCCGTTTTATTCGATTAGTGATTTGCATATCGGTCTGTTTTATTCTATTAGAGATTTGCATATCGGTCTGTTTTATTCTATTAGAGATTTGCATATCGGTCTGTTTTATTCTGTTAGAGATTTGCAAATCAGTCTGTTTTATTCTATTTGTGATTTGCATATCTGTCTGTTTTATTCTATTAGAGATTTGCATATCGGTCTGTTTTATTCTATTATTGATTTGCATATCGGTCAGTTTTATTCTATTCGAGATTTGCATATTGGTTTGTTTTATTCTATTCAGGATTTGCATATCGGTCTGTTTTATTCTATTAGTGATTTGCATATCTGTCTGTTTTAATCTATAAGTGATTTGCATATCGTTTTGTTTTATTCTATTAGAGATTTGCATATCGGTCTGTTTTAGTCTATTCGAGATTTGCATACCGTTCTGTTTTATTCTATTAGAGCAGGGGTGCCCAAGCTCAGTCCTGGAGGGCTGGTGTCCTGCATGTTTAGTTCCAACTCCTACTAAACACACCTGAACCAGCTAATCGAGGTCTTTCTAGGTATAGTAGAAACGTCCAGGCAGGTGTGCTGAAGGAAGCTGGAACTAAACAATGCAGGACAACAGCCCTCCAGGACTGAGTTTAGACACCCCTGTATTAGAGATTTGCACAGTGGTATGTTTTGTTCTATTAGAGCTGCACATTTCAGTCTGTTTTATTCTATTAGAGATTTGCATATCAGTATGTTTATTACATATTTTATAAAGCATTGATTTTCAGCCAGTAATGTCTCTGATTTCAGGTGGAACTACTACAGTATTTGTGATTCATTCCTGAGTAAAATGACTTACCTCATGGTAAATAGTTTTAAATAGTAACATCACAAAACCAAAATGTGTCAAGACCTAGTGCGTTAGTGTTGTTTCTCACCTGATCTCTAGTCAGCTGATAGAGCTCTTTAGTGGGCGACTCTGAGGACTGAAGCGGACTCATGTTGTGTCCTGAGGGCAGCAGCGCCCTGGACTGAAGCAGGCTCTCTGTAAAATAAAACACAATGAGAGATCATGAAGACAGACCTGCAGAAACATCATTTCCCACCAATCGCTTGCCATTCACCTTCCAGCACAGCCAGATGATTCCTGAGCAGGACTGGATCTGGTTTAGGAGGTAGTGGAGGAGGAGTGGTCAGACGCTTACTGTCTGGATCCTCATCTTCATCTAGACACTGACACAAACACACGTCCAACAAACACTGAGAAACATTACACAGACAAACTCAAAAAAAAAAGATAACTTTTGCTGCTTGTTCAAACTACTTATGTAAAATGAGGAGATTTTTCTGTGATTCTGCAATACCTTGAGCGTCAGAGTTTGGCTCTGGATGCTGCTATCGTTACTCTTCACTGGAGTCAGATCATGTGGTTCTGGCTGATGGAAAGGAGGCTGAATGCAAACTGCTAGCCTGTCGCTGACTTTCCCAGTGTACCTAATATTGAAGAGCAAAACCAATGTTAAACAATTTATTTATGCACATGAAAGTATATGAGATGTCCACATGATGCATAGTATGGGCATATATAGGATGCAGATGTGACAGTATATGGATATAAAGGGAATATAAAGGGCATATAGATGTG